AACTCATTTGAAGTCTCATGCAGAAACATGTGTGTGTAAGGTCTGTTGTGTAGCACTGCCAATAAAAGTAACTAGGACAGCCTGGAATATGAAGTCCTATTAGATTTCTATCAAGGTCTAAATCCCAGAGATTCATCTTGACCACTGATAAAATGTATCTGATTTATCATCCTATGGCTGATCAACATGTGTACATACATGTGCTCTCACACTCCACTGCTCTTCATTTATCTATGAATCTCAGAGATATTTTTTTCTACCTGTCAGTTTTATGGCATCTGTTAAGGAAGTAGTCCACAGTGTTTTATAAACAAGCTAATAACTCTCACAGCATCTTTATGTGGCCAATACTTTGTGTCTATCTTTAACAAAAATGAACTGTGTAAAGAAATTTGAAAATTTCTTAAATCACGTAAGTTAATATAACAGCTAAATCCACAGTTTAGAACTCCTGACTCATTATTCTATGGTCATAGTCACTTTTTACCACACATATAATGAAGAATAAACGACTATGTTTTGGGGGCAGAAGTAAGTGCAATTGTTTGGTTTTTTAAAGGAAAAATTGCAAAAAAGGCAGAAACTTTAAAACATTGCAGGTAGGAGTACTGTTGAGTTACTTGCACTAAATGGGATAATTAATGGAACTACATAATTACATAAATGTAATTACATATTTTCTTGGCAATGTATGCAGTATTGAAAGGTGTCCCAATACAGGTATTATGGTGCAATACAGAATACTGTTGTCTAATATACACATAAGGGAGATAAAAACATTTATTCTGAATTATTTAGACAAGCTGGTATCATACCGTGCTGTCCTTGGCCATATCCGAGACTTCTGTCTATTGTTCTGTGTTAACAAAGTGACTTTAATTCAGCATGTTGCAGCAGAATATGTTGGTCACTGGACAGTGCTGCAGAAGGGAAGGCAGTTTGCAGTAGCAGCAATTTCAGCTGCACAGTTTCTATTCCCATTGGATTTGATGATAGTGCCCATCATCCTACTATGCATCATTCTGCAATTTATCACTAATTTCTTGCTTGTCTGGAAGAATACCTACTCCTTCCACATGTC